TGCTCCTGAAAAGCCAGGATGGTGAGATTTGGGTTATGTTATCAGGAGAGACTAGATGCTGGAGAAGGACATGAAGCTTGGGAAAGTGGAGGGAGACCCCTAGCAAGACCAACTGGCACACTGGCCGCAGCAGTGGCTCCAGTGTACCACCTGTGGGGATGGCGTAGAGCCAGGCAGTGTTTTCATTCTATTTTTGCATGGCTGCTATGAGTTGGAACTGAGTAGACGGCACCTAAGAGCAACGCGATCCTCTGAAATTCCTTTGAGAATAGCTTAAGGGAATTATTACTGTTGAGTCAGTTCTGACTCATAGCAACCCTGTTAGGGTTTCTGAGGAGTAGCTGGTGGGTCTGAACTGCCAACCTTGAGGCTAGCAGTCCTACAACCCACACCAAGACTCCTTAAAGAGATGAAACAAAATAAATATTAAGAATTAGGTCAAACACACAGTAAATCCAAAGTGTACATTTACAAAGATTGTTTTAGAAAGATTTAGAATACTGTTCAAAATAATCTCTATCCATTTTTACAGAGCAAAAATCCTCAGTTAATCTAGCAAGACATGGCTCTGTGTTAAGCAAGGCCAATGCCCAGTACAGTACCTCCCACACATTAGCCCCAGTGCGTTCAGTAAGCTTACTATGTATGTCTGCAGGGCACTGTGCGCAGGAAAACAAAGATGAAAAAGAGACGGTCCCTGTTCTCCAGTAGAGGAGCAGAAACCTGATAAAAACATTTGACACTGCTTCAAAAAGACCATGCCACAGAAAGCCAAAAACACCCAATCACGACTATGATTGGAAATCCATAAACTTCTCTGCATCAAAACCATGTACTTGCCTTATAACAAAGAATTTCAATGGTCAGGAATCATTTTAAAAGACACATATAAGAAATGATTATATAATAAAGACACCTCCATTGGGAAATGAATGAGGCCTCCGTTCAAGGTATCTGAACTGTTTATTCTAATGCTGACTGTGATGAGACTGGGGTTAAGTCAGGGTCTTGGGACTCAAGTAGTCTTTCTTTTCAATGTTCTTTGAGTCTGGGGAACAAAAACAAGTTTCAATGGGCAAGCTTAAGGCTACAGAGTGGCTGGGGTAAAGTTCCCAATGCTACTCTCAAAGAATGAGCAGGTATGTCGTCGTGATGGAAAAAAATTCCTTGGTGTAAGTTTCCTGGCCTTTTCCTCATTAATGTACTTTCCATTTTCTTAAAACTTCTTTCTAATAAGCCTTAAGGAGCTCTGGTAGCATACTGGTTACAAATCGGGCTGCGAACCTTAAGGTCAGCGGTTTGAAACTACCAGCCGCTCCGCGGGAGAAAGATGAGGCTTTCTACTCCCGTAAGGATTTACACCCTCGGAAACCCTGTACAGGGTCGCTATGGGTCAGAACCGACTCGATGGCACTTAACAACAACAACAATAAGCCTTGGTGATTGTCCTGTGTTCCTCAAGATAATCTACCAAGATTACTCCTGTGGTACCCCCCAAAAGAGTCAACATACCTACTGAGCCTACCTCTCTGCCTTATATTGTAACTGACCCAGAAGATCCCCTTTTGGAAGCTACTGTTGTGACTGAGCCTTTTTTAAAAATCTACCCTAAGGAGACGAAGACAAGTGCATTACCAACTTGCCTGCAGCCAGTCACTGACATGTTTGAACACATTACACTTGGAATAAACCTTTTCCTGTATGAACTGGAACCCTAATAGTAATCCATTTTCATTTGTTGTTAGGTATCATCAAGTCAGTTCAAAGTCATGTGACCCTAGGCACAACAGAATGATACACTGCCCAGTCCCATACCATCCTCACAATTGTTGCTGCATTTGAGACCATTATTGCTGTCACTGTGTCATTCCATCTCACTGGAGGTCTTCCTCTTTTTCACTGACCCTCCAATTACCAAGCATGCTGTCCTTCTCTAGGCACTGGGCCCTTCTGATATGTCTAAGTATGAGAGACGCTGCCTCTCTATCCTGGCATCTTTGGAGCATTCTGGCTGTACTTTTTCAAACACAGTTTTGTTTGTTCCTCTGGTAGTCCACTTTCCATACTCTTCTTCAACACCACAATTCAAATGTATCAATTATATTGTCTGCTTTATTCATTGTCTAACTTCACATGCATATGGCTGTTGGTGGTCTTCATGTGCCACCAAGTTGGTTCCACCCCATAGTGACCCTGTATAGGGTTCCGAGGAGTGCCTGGTCAGAACTGCTGCCTAATAGTTCAAACACATTTTGTAGTCCAGTGCTTATCCTACAGTGCCACACCGGGAATCCAACACACAACTGTTAAGTGTCATCGAGTTGGTTCCGACCCACAGTGACCCTGTATAGGGTTTCCAAGGAGCAGCCGGTGAGCTTGAACTGCCGACCTTGAGGTTCAAACTGATTTTGCAGTCCAGTGCATCAACCCATAGCACCACACCACATTAGGCCATTCGTATTTAATACTAAATGTTGAAGAGGCAGTACGCTTAATAGTTACCAGACTCTGGAGTCAGAATATGTGTGTTGAAGCTTCGGCTATGCCACTTAGCAGCTGTGTGACCTTGAATAACTTATTTAACCAGTGCTTCAGTTTCTTCATCTTTATAGGGCGATTTTAACGGTGTTAAATAATAGTACTACCGCAGTGGCTGTTGTAAAGACTACATTAGTTAATATGATGCTCTGTCATCACTGTAAACGATTATTATTTAAAATATAATTTTACCTGCTTTTTAATGGCATAATTTTCACCATCTTCAGCCTTCATTTTTTCAATCTTTTCTTCCTGTTGTTTTGCTTCTTTTTCATACATCACTTTTTCTTTGACCAATCTATAAATAAACCAAAAATGTTTCGGAGAATTAATTTCTTCTCTAGTGAAAATCACACAAAAATTAATATTAAGCACACTTAAACTACTAAAGCAGATACATTAGAATGGGCGAAAGTGAAGAAAAATATTTCAGTCATAGAATTACGATGATTCTTAAGCCCTTAAGTCTTATACCTTCCTAAAGCACATATAAATTATAAAGGATGAAATCCTTACATTTGAAATTAAAAACCTGTTGCATTATATAATACTTATATTTGCAATGTGAAAACAGCACTCAACATTATGATGTACTAATATTTCTGTTCTGCTTTTATTTATATACACTTTAAACAACATAATGGTAACAGCTGAACTTAAGGGGTATGGAGGAGGCAGCAGATATCAGTACACTGCTGTTTGAAAGAAAGAAATGTTATATTATTTTCAACAACAAAATTGTTTAAAATAATGTTTTGATGGAATTTTGAGTTTTAAAGAGCAGAATAAAATTTCAGAAACCATATGTATATTTGTTGTTAAGTGGTGGAGAGTCAGTTGTGACTCATATTGACCCTGTATAGGGTTTCCTAGGAGCTGCTGTTGGGTTTGAACCACCAGCATTGTGGTTAGAGGCCCAGTGCTTATCCTACAGCACCACACCAGGACTCCAAGTATTTACTATGTACCTAAATTTATGCCAGACTTTCCTTTACTCTACAAACTGGGATAGATGACATTAAGACAAGGTTTCCTCACAGGCTAGAAGAAACAGACCAATATACAAGCATGTATTTACTAAAGCAAGAAAAGGTATTAATAATATAAATTAGGAAGACTTTCTATAACAAGGAATAGAACAAGACAAAGTTCTATTGGTTATTCCTTAGATTCAATAAGCCATAATAGCTCAACCTCCTCTAATTCTGCTCAAAGTTTTACTAAAAGAGAAGAGTCCAAGAATATATTAACATTCCTTTATGTACATTAGGAAGTCCTAGTGGCAGACTTTGCAGTCCAGTGCTTACGTCTAATTATTTGCAGGGAAGATCTGTTAGTGTATTACAATAATTAAAGCCCAAACCCACTGCTGTTGACTCAATTTCTACTCCTAGTGATTTGATATGGGACAGAGCAGAACTGCCCCACAGTGTTTTGAAGGCTGTAAATTTTTGCAGAAGCAGACTGCCACATCTTTCTCCTGTGGAGGCCTGGTGGTTTTGAACTGCCAACCTTTCAGATAGCAACCAAGCACTTTAACCACTGTGACACCAGTAGGGATCCTTTGTATTATAATACATGACTTAGCTTTCATACTCTAAAATGGAATCCTGGTGCAGCACTGCAGGATAAGCACAGCTAACTGCAAAGTCGGCAGCTCAAACCACCATCCACTCATGGGAAACCCTATACAGGGCTGTTATGAGTTGGAACTGGCTTGGTGGCATTTAACAACAATAGGACTTTTATAGGTTCATAGGTCTAAAATAAAAATCATCCTCATGCTTATTGTTGTTGTTGTTAAGTGCCATCGAGTTGATTCTGACCCATAGCGACCCTGTATAGGGTTTCCAAGGAGCAGCTGGTGAACTTGAACCGCCAACTTTGCAGTTCAAATGACTTTGCCATTAGCTCATTAGCCCATAGCGCCACACCAGGACTCCATCCTTATGCTTAGCTGGATTTAAATCACCACATAAAATTACATACTAAATACAAAAATATTCCAGTTTAGAATTTTGAGGTGAGCTCTGGTAGCGTAGTGGTTACGAATCGGGCTGCGAACCTTAAGGTCAGCGGTTCGAAACTATCAGCCGCTCCGCGGGAGAAAGATGAGGCTTTCTACTCCCATAAAGATTTATACCCTCGGAAATCCTGTATAGGGTCGCTATGGGTCGGAATCGACTCGACGGCACTTAACAACAACAAATAACAACAACAACAACAATAAAGCACATTCTCTACTTCATGATCTTGTATTATTTATGGATGGAAGGAAACACAACAAAATATTAACAGTGCACACATGAAATGTTATGTGATCTTCATGTCTACATCCTAAAAGATCTTCAAGTGAAAAAACAACAAATCCAAAGCCCTTGAATTTTACACTGTTGTTGTTAGGTGCTACTGAGTTGGTTTCAACTCACAGTGATCCTATGCACAACCGAAGGAAACACCACCCAGTCCTGTGACGCCCTCACAACTGTTACACTTGAGCCTATAGCTGCTGTCACTTTTCACCAATGTCTTCAGTGCATAGACGATGAGCGCCTCCAGCACTGCATGTTTGTTGAAAGATTTCAATTTGTAGTCCATGAATTCCTGGAGCCTTGTTTTTCACCAATGCCTTCGGTGCACCTTGGACTTCTTCCTCAGTATCATTCACCGGGGCTTGATCATCTGCTGCCTCTTGAAATGGCTGAACATTAACCATTAACAGTGCAGTAACTGTGTATTCCTTCATCTTCTTTTGATGCTCTCTGCACCATTCAATATTTTGTCCATTGTTTTTGTTAAGTTCCACTGGGTCAGATACAATTTATACTGACCCTGTAGAGCATTACTGAGGCTGTAGGTTTTGTTTTGTTTTGTTTTTTTATAGGGCAGATTATCAGTTTTACATTCAATAAATCGTATTTTGTTTCACTGCAATGATTACAGTTCCCTCCGTGTACCAGTCGATAGTACTTACCTCTATCCCCCCAGTTTTTGGATATACACATACAAAACAGAAAATACATATCTGCTTAAATGTCCAAAGGACACACTTTGCAAGTCAGTTTCCTGTCCACAGGCACACAGCCTTTCCCAGTCCATAGGCCTAGAGTCCTCAGCTGCTCTATCTCTCTATGCCATCCTGAGACTGTAAATCTTTGAGAGTGCAGAAAGCCTCATCATTCTTTCACTGAGTGGTTGGTGGGTTCAAACTGCCTAACTTGTGGTTACCAATAAAGTGCTTATCCTACAGTGCCAACAACACTCACAAGAAACAATAGTAATTTCAAAATCTGGCCTTGTTGTTGTTTTTCATAGGTGTCATTGAAATGGTACCGACTCATAGCAACCCTATTAACAACAGAATGAAACACTGCCCAGTCTTGGGCCAACCTCACA